CTTTCAAGGAACTTTGATGCAGACACTGATTGGGAGACCATACCTGAGGCAGCTGTTAAATCCATCTGCGGAAGGCTACAGGTATCAGACAATCCAGAGTGTTCAACCAGATGTGTAGACCAAACTGGAGCTCCCCCAGAATGCGTACCAGACATCTATGCATTCCCATTGAGAATGGAGTTGCAGTCTCTGGAGCATGTTTCAAAAGNCTCAATAAGTCCTATCTGAAAGAGTCAGAGCCCTTTGGAGAACGGTGGGATGACAGCTGCAAACAAGCTTTCCATCAGATTATCCATTGCTTAACACATGCACCAGTACTAGCCTTCGCTGATCCTACAAAGCCCTATGAACTCCATGTGGATGCTAGCTTCAAGGGCCTGGGGGCTGTACTATACCAGCTGCAAGAAGAGGAACTAAGGCCGGTTGCCTTTGCCAGCAGGAAACTAAGTCAGTCTGAGAAGAAGTACCCTATACATCAGCTTGAGTTCCTGTCATTAAAGTGGGCAGTGGTGGATCGCTTCCATGACTACCTCTATGGGGCACGCTTTTCAGTACGTACTGACAACAATCCCTTGACCTATGTACTGTCCACTGCCAAGCTCAATGCAGTGGGACATAGATGGTTGGCTGCTTTGTCGACGTACGACTTTGATGTTCTTTATCGTCCAGGCAAGCATAACATAGATGCGGACATCCTTTCAAGGAACTTTGATGCAGACACTGATTGGGAGACCATACCTGAGGCAGCTGTTAAATCCATCTGCGGAAGGCTACAGGTATCAGACAATCCAGAGTGTTCAACCAGATGTGTAGACCAAACTGGAGCTCCCCCAGAATGCGTACCAGACATCTATGCATTCCCATTGAGAATGGAGTTGCAGTCTCTGGAGCATGTTTCAAAAGCTGATCTGGTTCAGGCGCAAAAAGATGACCCAGTCATTGGCCCAGCTGTCCAGGCAGTTAAGCTTAATCAGTGGTCTGGCACCAATCCAGAGCTGTCACTTCTAAAGAGAGAGAAAGACAAATTGACCATACTGAAAGATGGTCTGCTCTATCGCATCACTAGGCGTCACTCAAGTGGCGAGGTCCATCAGCTAGTCCTGCCAAAGATTTTCCATGATGTTGTATTGAGATCAGTACACAATGACTCTGGGCATTTAGGCATAGAGAGGACTCTGGACTTACTCCGTCAGAGGTTCTACTGGCCAAGGATGATGCAAGACATTGAGCAACATATTAAAAAGTGTGGCGAATGCATAACACGCAAGACTCCTGCCCAGAAA